GCGGGTCAAACCTCCTGCCACCATCCTGCCGCGGGCGGGTGCGGGGCCCTTACCCTCTCCTCTGGGTGGCCAGCGGCGGCTGTGCCTGGGGGGTCAGCAGGCGCTTCCTGAAGGGGTCCATCATCGACTGCGGCAGGCCGGGTCTCATCGGGGAAGGTGGGGCTCCCGGTGGTCCCACCTGCAGCCCTGCCATGGGCATCCGGCTGCCGGGCGGCATCCCGGGGCGCTAGCGGGAAAGAGAAGAGAGAGGACTGTGCATTAAATGCTGCCTGGCCAGGGGGCCTGACCTTTGCTGGGGACCAGCAGATACCATCCGCCCTCTTGCTTCTTCCCCAGGAGAGATTTCTGAGGCCATACCCTGCTCCGAGGTGTGGGCAAGGGACAGGGCAGGGAAGAGGGAAGGACACCAGGAGCTGCAGCCTTTCTTGCTGCAGGAAGAGTGACTGGAAAGCAGAACCAGGATGAGCAGAAGCCACTGACCGCAGGGGAAGCCCGGCCTGCCAGCCGGGAAGCCATCCGTGGCCCCGAGCCACCACCACCCAGCAAGAAACATCGGACCTGGAGCGTCACAAGGGTCACTGCCTGCAAAGCTGTCACCCCTGGGGACCGCAGGGGCTGCGGTGCAGGTTGTGCCGTGGGTTCCTCTCTGGAAAGCAGCGGTACTGGCAGATGCAATGCCCGGGAGAGCAGTGGGGCAATCCCACTTCCTAATGGCACCGGTCATGAGGCCGGCAGGCAGGAAGGAAGCCGAGCTCCTGGGCGCAGGGGGTGGAGGCAAGAGCTCACTGCTACCAGCACGCCAGCTCCTGCTGCCATCTGCCCCCCTCCAGAAAGGGCATTTAGGAGCCACAACGCAATACAAACTGCTCCTGCAAGGGGTCCTGACCCAGGGCAACACTCACAGCCCCTCCACATCCTCCGGAGCAAAGCAGTTTGGCAAGCCAGCACCCACACTGCCGGCTCGCAGGTGCCACCAAGTCTACACCCCATGCAGCCCCCCAGGACCCCCGACAATCAGTCACAACACTCCATGACCCACTGGCCATCCCTATGTGCTTCAGCCTCCTTCACCGGTGGTCTGAGCCAACAGCCTCCCAGGAGGATCCTTTGATCCTCAAGTTCTTCACTGCCAAGACGTGAGGCTGGGAGAGCCACCAAGCCAGCAGAGCAACATTTCTCACCTGCCGCAGGCTCCTCAACGTGCCAGGACATCCCCCATGGCTCCCCTCCCACTACCCTGCTGGGGCACACGGCTGTGCCACAGCAGAGAGCTAACAAAGCCACCTCGTTATCCCAAAGGAGCCCAGCAAGGCAACAGGCTTATCTGCATACAGGCATTAATTTCAGCACAAACCCTGGGCGTGGGAGGGCTGGGAGCACAAGACCACTGCCCGCACCCTGCCTGTCCTCCACAGGCTCAGAGCTGCAGCGGGGAGGTTGGTTTGATGGCAACTGGAGCCAAAACCCACTCACCTCCTCCCTGAAGAGCTGGTAAATGCAAAACAGAGAGCTCATGTTGCTCCTGCTCCAGAGCCTGAGGCCATGGGCATCTCTGCAAGAAGAGATTCTGAAAATATCCCAAGTGCTGCATCAAGAAGCGTATTGCAGCCGGGCAGTCAAGCAGCAGCAGGCCACGGGATTAGTGTCGCACCACAGAAGTTCAAAAACACACACGTGAAGCGCGGGCTGAGCCCATCACGCAACCAAATGCTGTTCCCACCTTTGCTCAGCCTTCCTTCGGAGCAGCAGCTTCTCCAGCGCCTGGGCTCACTAACCTGCCTGGCTGCAGGGCAGGAACCCGGCTCTTCCTCCTAACAGCCCCTGGGTATTTCTCTCCTTTTGATCAGCCACATTTGCGCAACTCCTCGTGACAAGCAGGACTGCGTTGGCATCGCCAAGAGTCAACCGCGGCCAGCAGCACCTCCTCTTTTGCCAAAAATCACAGGGCAAGAACCCAGTTTCTCTGGATTTATCAAGAAATCCTCCGTGGCAGGGCTGGGAGGAAAGGCAGCACTGAGATCCACACCCTTTGCAGAACAAAAAAACACAGGCAGTGAGTAAATACTGTTTGCCAGTGCAGCGTGGCTACAGGAGGACCATACCCATGCTGACTCACCTGTGAGGGCTTCTGGAGAACAGATAAGCCATGAGAAGAGGCTGTGAAACTTTTAATCAGAAATTTGGGAGCCCCAAGAAAAGCCACGTAATGCCAAGGCTGCAATGTAGTCACCTGCAGCATGAAAATAGATGGCTTTCAAGGAAAACCTTGCCCCTAGGTGTTTCTCAAGCCTGAGCAGGAGATTGTGGTCAGTGTCATGGGGAAACCGGTCTGAGGTCAGGCAGGTTCCCTATGGGACAACATACAACAACACAATCCCTTCCCAAAGCACGCGGATGGAGGAATGCATTCAGCAGCTTGCTCGGACTAAGAGGTGATGTGGCCACGACCAGCTCCTGCCCTTCAGCCAGGGCAGCTCTCACCACCACCACGCCCTAAGGTCTCTCCTGCCTCCCTCTGCCACTCCATGGGTCCCATTTCTAATCTGTCCCTGAAATGAGAGAATTGGAGGCTGGCTGAGTTGGCTGAGAGGGTCTTTGACAGCTCCACGTGAGCGACAGCATGTTGTGCAAGTTCTCCTGCATCTCCATCTGCTCTTCAGAGGGCCAGAGACTGCTCGGTTACAAGAGGAGGAGGCACCTCTGACACCAGGGAGAGATTCAGTGCGAGGATGAATGAATCTGTCATACTTAAGACTTTAACGTCACCTTCACAAAAATCTGAGAACCATCAGCCACAGTTAAGTTGCCAGGGGAGCGAGCGAGCTACAGCCCACCAGGGACGCGCATTTAATCACAAGCAAAAAAAAGAGAAGGTAGAATCCTCCATGCAGATTTTTTTTTTCCTTTCAGTTTACCATCAAGACTTACAAATTGCCAAGAGGCTTCTCCGTTAGCAAAGCATGGACAGCCTCTGCCTTAGGTTCAATCAGCAACTGCACCCCTGTCCAGGGGAGCCTCAGCTCCCAAGGCTCAACTCACACAAACATGGTGCAGCCTTAAATCTCCGGCTAAGCCATGAAGCAGCATTACAGCCCCAGCGGGGTGAAGCTGGCCTCCATCCCCCTTCGGAAGCCCTGGAAATTAGCAGGATGCAAGGGGGCTTAAATTCAGGCAATTTTCTTAGACCTGCTCAAACCAAGGAGACCTTCCCTAGCTCCCTCCTGCTTAATAACACACCTTGTCCTGCTGTCCACCCCTCTTCACCCAGGGCAGCACTGCTGCCCCACTCCCTCCGGCCTGCCCCACCGCCCCTGCTAGTGGGGCGGACAAAGGGCAAACCTCGCAAGCTCAGCTCCGAAGAACAAGCTGGACCTCATCCAGCCTTTCCTGCGGAGAGCGAGCGGAGCAGTTTGGAAACGGGACAGAAAACAGCTTGTTTCTGTTCCCTGCCAAAGCCGAAGGAACGAACAGGGCTGGCTGCGGTTTGGGGGTTCATCCCAGGTCAATGCACAGGCCGCTTGCATTTGGGGAGCTCTGCTGAGCATCAGTTGAATCCAATGGGAGGCTGGAAGGTTTCCCGATGGATGTTTGTTGGCATGACAGAAGCCTCCCCGCCTGCCAAAGGCCCCTTCTTGAGGAAAGGCAGGCCAGGAATCGAAGGCTGGTAGCAGAAAGGAGAAACAAGGGGAGCAATAAATCTCAGGAGATGGATCTGCAAGATGCCCGGCTGGAGAGCGAGCTTGAAGAAAAGCAGCATTTCAGAAACAGCTCGAGAGCCTCTTCATCTTCCTTCCAAGACTGCAGCTCTTTTCCTGCAGCTCCTAACGAGGGGGGAAAGGTTCTTCCCGACGCACGTCCCGTTTTGCTCCGTCCAGAAAGGCGCGATCCAACTTTGTACATACTAAGTCAGGGAGCGAGAGCCCACATGCATCCTCGCCCGGGGCTTTGGGAGCAGAGCCCTGGACAGACGCCAGGTGACGACGGCTCTTCCTGCAAGTTCCTCCCCGCGTGCCCAGACGGCAGCGCTTCCCATTAGGACAGACGCAATAGCAAACCCTGTTCAAACGGGATTTGAGCTCCATGCCAGGCTGGTCTCAAGGAGAGCTTGGCTGCCTAAAGGCATCGCTCAACCCAGAGCTTCACATGGATTGGGACCAACTGAGGCCCCCTGGTCTCTGCAGCACACCCCAAAAGGGTGCTTTCCCCCTCTTTGTTCGTTCTTAACTGTGAGCAAATCCCTCTTGGGGGGGTGCCAGGAAGAGCCTGGGTTCGTGCTGGCAGAGATCTTTACCCGGGAGGTGGTGTTGTTATCAAGGCACCATTGCATGCTGCAAGCTCTTGAGCAGCACCTCGCTCCCAACAAGCCCCCAAACTGCCCCAGCACAGCTCATCACACTTGGAAGACCTGACATATTTTGATACAGGAGGCGGTCCAGGAGTCAGACTGCTTCTCAGCTAAAAACCATAGATGAAGTAGTAGTAAATTAAAGGGAGAAGGATTAAACAACAGGCAAAGACACCGAGCAGATTTAGGACACGTGCTGGCAACGTTTCAAGCGCCAGCAGAGATGTTTGGGACCAGACAAACCTGCCCCGTCTGCGGCCTCACAGCTGAAGTCGCAGATGTTACAGGTCAGAGAAAGGAAAGGTCACAAGGATTCAAATCATAACACAGGTGTTAACACAAGCAGGAACAAAGAACAAAGGTGTTGGGTTCCTGCTTGAAAGAGAAACTCCGCCAGCCTCTA